GGTGCGCCTGACCGGTCAGGTCTGCATCCAGCTGACCGACGCCGTCGTCTATCATGCCGGGTCGGGGACAACGGGGCGGCATTCCGAATTCACGCTGTTTCACGGCCACCGCAACCGGATCTGGGTGTTCTTCAAGAACACCCCGGCGATCCTGCTGCCTTTTCTGGCGCCGGTCCATCTGGCCGTTAACGCTTACCTCTATCTGCGCGCGGACGGCGAGCGGCGCGCCTATCTCAAACGCGCCTATCGGGCCGCCTGGGACGGCCTTGGCGCGGTGATGGCGCAACGCCGAAGCCTGTCGCGCCTTCGGACAGGGTCCATTCGCGCCCTGATGCGGGCCATGATCTGGTCGCCGCGTCTGGTCACCCGCCGCGGCGTGAAACTTGACCGGAGCGGCGCGCGCGCCACCAGCAAGGGCTGAAAAGTGACCGGTGCGTGCTGGACCGTTCAATCATCACGCCAGCCATGCTAGAGCTTGAACCAGTGATGACGCCAGTCTGGACGACCATGAATCCACGCGCCGGATATACGCTGATAGAAGTGCTGATCATGCTTGCGGTGACGGCGATCCTGGCGGCGACGGTGCTCGAGACGGTTCGGGCGTCAACATCGAACGGGCTCAGGATCGAGGCCGCCGCGCGCACTGCCTCCCAGGACTATATCACGTTGGCCAGCGCGCGCCGTGCAGTCGAAGCCAGCGTCCCGGACTATTCCAATCAGGCCCATACCTTCAGAGGGGATGAAACCCGCTTTTCAGCGTTGACGAGCACGCCGATCACCCTCGCGAACGCCAGCTTGCAGCCCTATGCGCTCAGCCTGGTGAATGAACCAGGCAGGGTAAGCCTGGTCTATGAGGACCAGGGCGGTCGCTTCCTGGTCCAGTCCTGGCCGGGCGGACAGGGACGCTGGTCCTACCTGGTTGAAGAGCAGGATGCCCGCACAGGCTTCGTACGGCGGCTGGGCGAGCCGCGCGAGCGGCGCTGGGTTCAGGACTGGCCGGCGCCAGCCGCCCTGAACCGACCGTCCGCCTCCTCCTATTTTCAGCCCTTGCCGCTCGCCATACGCGCCGAGATCGACCTGGCGGACGATCAGCGGCGTGTGATTGTCTTCCAGATGCCTGTCACCGCCGCCCCGCGACCGCGGATCGAAGACCTTTTGGGGTCGGTGTCACAATGACGCTCAGATCCGGATACGCTCTGCCCCTCACCCTGGCCGCCATCATCGTAATCGCGCTCGTCGCCGCCATGGCGGCGGAGCAGGTGCGCAGTTCGACCCGAACGGTGACCGAGCTCGTTGATCAGATGCGTGATCGCACCGAGATGGTGTCTGCGGAACAGACGCTGATCTACACCTTGCTCACCGAACCCATGGTCATGGAGGGCGTCGCCCTGGGCGGACAGTCCGACATGACCAGCCTGGTGCTGGGACAATCGGGGCCGCGCAATGCAAGCGACCTGATCCGCGCCAACGGACAGGCCTATCGCTTTGGCGCCGAGGGTGTGATCGCCCGGCTCTATGACGACCAGTCCTTCCTGAACGCCGCCAGCGCCGACCCGGCCAATCTCACGGACATTCTCGATCTTTATGGCGTGCCGAGGACGCAGCATGCGCGCATGATCGCGGCCCTGCGCGACTATCAGGATGAGGATGATCTGCGGACTCTGGGCGGCGCTGAAGCGGCGGATTACGATCAGCCCGGACTGCCCACCAACGAGCCCTTGCGAAGCGCGCTCGAGCTTTGCTCGGTCATGTACTGGACCGAGAGCGCCGTGTGTGAAGACACGGGGCGCCTCCTCCTGACCCTGCGGACGCGCTCCTCCGATCGGGTCGCGCCCGGCCTTGTATCAGAAGCCCTGCTCTCCTTGATGTCGCCGGAGGCCGATCGTGAGGATGTGCGCGAAACCTTCCTCTTATTCGCAGATGGCCAGCTCACCCGTTTCGATCAGATCGATCAGGGACGTTTCGATCAGGTTCGCGACCCCCTGAGCACCCTGACCGCGCCCGGCCCCTTCCTGACGCTGGTCACCCAGACACCGGACGCAACCATAACCCGGCGCACCGTGATCGAACTCACCCCCAACAGCCTCATCTCGCCCTTTGTGCTTCACAGCAAGTACGCTATTGGGGGTGACTATTCGCAAAATATCTTGCGTATCGAGAGTATTGACGATGTCGCGCCGCTTCCACAAACGCCCTCACTCGCAACTGAGCGCTAAAGATGGCGTTCTGCGTCGCGGCGGCCGACTTGAGCGTCTGGCGTTCGGAGAACGGCTGATCATCAGCCGCGCCCTCTGTCACTTCGAAACCATGCCCAACCCGCCCGGCGGCCAGAGTCTGAGACGCTACGAGGCGGCCAAGCTCAGCGCCAAGGCGCGCACGCCGATTGCGGATCCGGCTTTCCATTTCGACTGGGGGGAGGACCGCATCGGAATCTGGAGTTGGCCCCGAAGCCTCACGCAGACGCTGACGGACTTTGAGGGTGAAATCCTTCCCGAGACGGTGCTGCACCCTCCCCTGCAGTCGGGCGCTCGTCTGGTGTCGGCAACCGAGGGTTATGAGGGTCAGGTCTGGCGCGACAACCAGCTCGTCGCCAGCCGGTGGTGGCCGTCACGGCCCACTGCGTCGGACTGGTCAGGCTTCCTGCGCGCCACGCGCACCCCGGACACGGGCGAAGGCGTCCCCGAACCGGTTGAGCCCCGGCTTCTGGACAAGCCCGCCAACCCCCAACCCTATACCGCGCTCCTGGACCGGATCCGGGCGATCAGCCTGCGCGACATCGCCGCCCTGGCGCTTGTCACGCTGGCCGTGCCGGGGCTCTACCTGCTGGGGCAATGGGTCCAGTTGAGCCAGGCTCAATCGTCTGTCTCCGCTGAACTGGACGAGCTCTCGCAACAAACCGCTGAAATCAGCGCCGCCCGGCAATCCGCCCAGCAGGCCGCGAATGAACTGGCGATCTATGCTGACGTCCTGAACCGGCGTCATCCGGCTGCATTGCTGGCGAGCGTCAGCGAAGAACTGGCCCGGTTTTCCATCCGGCTGGACGCCTTTGAACAGACCGAGGACAGCGTCACCCTCACCCTTCACGCCAGCGATGATTTCGCGCCTGAGTCTCTGGTCCGGGCGATGGAAAGCAACCCGCTGATGAACAGCGTCAGCCTGGAGCCAGGACGCGGGGCCGGCGAGTGGATGCTGAGCGCTCAGCTGGAGGCCGGACAATGAGCCGAAACGCCCTGATGGCCGACTGGAAAGCCCAGCTGAAAGAACAGGCGACCCCGAGAGCCATCGCCGGACTTGTGGCGCTGGTCGCCATTCTCGCGATCTGGGCGCTCGGCGAACTGAGCGCCTCCGTCACCTCACTCCGGCAGGAAGTGGAGGAGCTTGAGCGCGCACGCCGTCTTGAACTAAGCCTGCTCAACGATCAGGGCTGGCTGGATCAGGCCGGTGACATCCAGCAACAGCTGGACCAGACCCAGAACAGTTTCTGGACGGGCGCCACGAACGGAATCGTCGCCGCACAACTGCAAGGCGCCGTTGAGCGAGCCGCCCGAAACGCCGGTCTGAGCCGAATTCGCGTGAATGTCACGGGCACGCCTGAGCCCCTGGGCGACCAGGCGAGCCTTTTTGAAATCTCCATTACCGCACGCGATGGCGAAGGTCAGTTCCTGGCGTTTTTCCAGGAGCTGGGACGCACTGAGCATCAGATTGTCATCACCCGGTTCAACTGGCGGCGCAGCAATGGCGCGCTGGACATGCGACTGCAAGCGCCCGCGCAGGTCGCCGTGCAGGAGGACGCTTCATGACCTCACGGTTCCGTCTGCTCCTCGCCAGCCTCTCCGCACTGATCGCCCTCGCGGCGGGATTGCTGACCGGGC